CTAAATCATGTCCCTGAGCACCACATCCAAATGGCTTTTAAACACATTCAGGGATGGTGATTCAACCAGACTCAACTCTGGGGAGCCTACTCCAGTGCTTAACAACCCTTTCTGTAAAGAAGTTTTTCCAGATATCCAACCTGTTCCAACTTGAGGCCATTTACCCTCATCCTGTCACTAGTAGAAGAGACCAGACCTATTCTCGCTGATATCACCTTTCAGGTATTTGAAAAGAGCAGTAAGGTCTCCTGTTCAGCCTCTTCTTCCACAATTGTTCAAACCTTTGAGCTCTCCAAGCTTCTTCAAATTAGCTGATTGTAACTCTAACATCCTAAGAGCCATTCTTCTATTTAGTTGTACAGGTAGCCACAACTCTACTACTTTCAGCTATGACTCAGAGCTGACTGAAGCAAACCTACCTGAACTTTCTTAAACTCAATTATTCTTTCAGGAGATGGCTCTCTATTCAGAGACACAGACAGGAGATCTCTAAAACTCCTAAGTCCATTACTCTTTATTTTCTTAACTCCTTTCAAAAAAAAAAAAAAAATTTCTTCCCAATACATTCTGCAAATTATTTAAATACACACATACAAATTACAAAGGTGTGTGAATTGAGCTAATGAACAGTTTCTTTCCTCCCTACGCTGTATGCATACACTCTCACTCATAGAAACTAGTCTCCTTGGTCTCTTTTGACAGTTCCAGCTTAATTACTGGAGCATCACACTTGTCACAGTGTTTTGTTGAGAAATGCATAACCTACAATTCCAACTACCAGTTGACTCTTCTTGACTCTTCTTTCCCGATTCATTTTACTTAGATTCTTATAATGTTACTGGAAACATGTTAAAATCTAATTTCAGAAACTCAGATGTGAATTTAGATTGCAAAGTCCCCTTGAAGTCAGTATAGGTTACCTGTAGATATCGTGTTTCACACTTGCCCGAGTTTTCTGACTGGGATTGTAATCTTCAGGGGGCATGTAGACAATGGTCCCTCCTTCTGGTAAGGAAGTTTCACTGCGTGACTGTGACATGGATATGACACGCCATTTTGACATGCCAAAATCTGCAATCTGGAAAGGACAGAGCAGTTGTTCTGAAAACCTTATTTAATCTCTGTTAACCCTTGTTACAAATTCCTGAAATACACCTGAAAGAACCGGTTGTTTGCAATCCTTAACCTGACAGAAAGTATGCAGTTGCTTTAGAGACAGGAAACACCAGCTTCACTTCAGAAAACATTCCCAGTTCATGACTCATGTCATTCCTACAGCACTGCCCTATCCTGTTGTTCTTTTAAGGAAGGTTCATATACTCTGTGGCTGGGAAATCTGTTGTGGAAGTCTGTCCCAAATCAGAGAATCACAGAATGGCCTGGGTTGAAAAGGACTACAATGATCATCTAGTTTCAAGCCCCCTGCTATGTGCAGGGTCATCAACCAGCAGACCAGGCTGCCCAGAGCCACATCCAGCCTGGCCTTGAATGCCTGCAGGGATGGGGCATCCACAACTTCCTTGGGCAACCTGTTCCAGTGCGTCACCACCCTCTGTGTGAAAAATTTCCTCCTAATATCCAACCTAAACCTCCCCTGTCTTAGTTTAAAACCATTCCCCCTTGTCCTATCACTATCCACCCATGTAAACAGTCATTTTCACCATTTTCTTTCACGGAAAACAAGCAACAAAATCACTGGGTATTTCTAGATCACTGATGGTGTAAAAAGCACAAACTTAATGAAGATCATAAAAGCGACATGCAATTTAGCCTGCAGATATCCAGGGACAATTGCATTTACAGAAAAAGAATTAGGGCAGCCCACCTCATTCTCAAAACTAAGAATTGTTAATCTAAAATTAACAAATTTGATACCCTGAAATTCTGTGCTGCAAAAAGTCACCAAATATTTTTTTACTGTGCCTCCAGGGCCTTCTTTCTCCTTGTCCCTTCCTTGAGAAGTCACACTACATCAAGAATTAGCTGGCTTAGTTTACGTTCCCAGACATTCACAAATCAGGAGCAAGATGTATGACCAGGTTGTGGGTGGAGAGCTGCACAGATAGAAGAGTAAGAGCGCTAGCGAGCTTCCAGTCCAGCATCCAGGCGAGAAAGTTATATATCATAGAATGGCTGAGGATGGAAAGAACGTTAAAGATCACATAACTCCAGACACTCTGCCATAAGTAGGCTTGCTACTAGATCAAACTGCCCAGGGCCCCATCTAACCTGCCCTTCAACATCTTCAAGGATGGAAGGGGTATCCACAACTTCTCTGGGCAACCCATTTCAGTGCCTCACCACTGATTAAAGAATCTCTTCCTAACATCCAACCTGCATTTAATTTAAAGCCATTCCCCTTTGTCCTACTGCTATTAGACCATGTAGAACATTGGTAGCCCACCGGCTTGTAAGCTTCCTTCAAGTATGGGAAGGCCACAATGAGGTCTTCCTAGAACCTTCTATTCTCCAAGCTAAACAAACACAACTCCCTCTATCTCTCTTCAAAGAAAAGTGCCAGCAATGAGCTCTGGGCTTTTTCAGCATTTCTATTAGAGGAAAACAATTTTCAGGGTGCCTCTGTAAGCACTTAAGGTAACAGAAACAAACTTCCTGGAGAACATAAATATTATCCTTCTCCCTCTATGGCTCACTCATATCAAGCCTTTCTTGCTGTAGTTGGTCAGGTTATCTTGCTCATTCACTACATCTGGTACAGTCAGAAACAGTCTAAAAATAGTGTTACTTTTATACACATGCAATACTTTTCCAGTTTAGCATGATAACCTTCATTCAGTTTATGCCAGCTATCCTAAATTAGAGAATCATAGAATAGAATCATAGAATGGCTTGGGTTGGAAGTGACCTCAGTGATCATCAAACTCCAACTCCCCTTCTGCAGGCAGGACCGCCAACCTCCACATTTAATACTAAACCAATCATGCTTCACCCAAACTGCTCTAAGCAAAGCAACTGTTTATATGTGGTCAGGCAGAGCACCAGAATGTACCAGTGTTGCTAGGGATTAAAAAAAACTGGATTTTGTGGTTTACTTGGGCCAGTTCCTAGTCAGGTTTATCAAGAAGCTTGAGAGACGGTGATACTGGCACCGCTGAGTGGGAGGAGGTGTGAGCTGCTGAGGGAGTGAGTGAAGGGAAAGCTGTATAAGCTGCCCTGCTGCCAAGGAAAACCTCTTTGCAACGGAGAAAGAAGAGATTGGCACTGCATCTTTGATATTTGCTCAAAGGAATAGAAAGACAGAAGGATTAATCTCACTGTAAGCACTGAAGTTGAAGCCACTCAAGTATGAATTAAGATCTCTGATTTCTCACTTTGAATAGTACATTCTACCAATTTTCAAAACAGAGAGTTTCAGTTCTTTTAAAAAAGAATTATTTTATATAGTTTTATATAATTATTGCAATTATATAAGCACATAACTGTTATGCCAGAAGTTCTTTCAATCTCTTTTTCACATAATGGCAGTGATACTCAAAAAGGCAGAAGTGAAGTTTTGAACTAGTATTACTTCTCCATATATGCTTGCTTGCTCTAGGAGCTTTGTAAGAGCCATCTCTCAGCGCGTTAAAATGTCAGAGTTATATTCTATTAGAGCAGTATAAGAATTTGTAAAATGTATATGTTCATATTGCATGATAAACATCACATGGTGTTAACATCAGAACTTTTCTGATCTTCAGAACTAAGCTGTCTGAGCATCTTGGACAGGAAAACTTTCTATTTTTTCCTCAAAAAGAGCCAGACATAGCTACCAGGGAAAGCTGTCATCAGAAAGTATCAGAAAGCTATTGAGTAACGACTATACAGAGGGACTTCCGTATAGTCCCTCTATGTTGTAAGGGACCTTTAAAAATCATCCAGCCCAGCTCTCTGCAATAAATAAGGACATGCACAGCTAGATCGGGTTGCTCACAGCCTGGTTCAGCCTGGCCTTGAAAGTCTGCAGGGACGAGGCATCACTGGTGGCATCACTGTTCTGGTGTCTCATCGCTCCCACCGTAAAAGACTTTTTCCTAAACCTAAATCTACTCTCCTTAAGTTTGAAAGCAACCTTTATATGAACTTCTATACCTCAAGCAGTTCATATTATGGAATTCTGGTCTTTTTAAATGGATCAGATCCACACTTGAGCAAAACAGTGTTTAAAAAAAAAAAATTAGATATCTAAGTTCTGTCTGCAAGGATACAAGTAAAACATCTGGCATGCAACTATAACCCCTCTGCATAGCCACTACTTCACTCTTCTTCTACTGCAATTAAACACTTTGGCTCATTCTGGGTGCTGAGGAACATAAGTATTAAATAACTCTACCTTGACATGAAACTCATCATCCAATAAAATATTCTGGGTTTTCAAGTCATGGTGCAACAATGGAGGATTCATGTTGTGCAAATAGTTCACTCCCAAAGCAATTTCGTAAAGAATGCGGTATCTCAGGCACCAGGCAATGTCAGGATACATATCTTTCTGCCAAAATAAGAAAATAAGAAATAGTCATTTTTTCACGATATTTACACTGCCAATAGTTCTGAAATTCAAATTAAATATTTCCGTTTCCAATTAGAGAACAAAGTGATTTTATACAGTAACTCATCCTTTAGCTTATTATATGGATCACGGCATTAAAAGAAAAAGCGCAATAAAATTAACATCTACAAAGCCTGCCCGCCTTTTTGCGATACAGCAGGTCTACCTGAGCAACAAAATTAGTAAGAGTGACTGTCCTTAAATTTGTAAAATTAATAATACACTTACTGTAGTACTTCCCTTAAGCATGCAAATCACAGTATTTGAAAGAACCAGAGGCTGTACTGAAGACCGTGAGAACACTTACCCCGTGTAAAAGCTGGTTCAGCGATCCATTTGCCATGTATTCTGTTACAATCCCCAGGAAGTCAGGCTCATTGCAAATTCCCAAAATTGGCAGAATGTAACTAAACCTGGCTTTGTGCAATATCTCTGCTTCTTTTAGAAGGTGGTTTCTATCACTTAAAAAGAAAGCCAACAAGTAAGGTTACCTTACTTACAACACTAGGAAACTAAGCAAATTTAAGATTCACTATATTCTCTTCAAAAATCAACATCCATATGCAGCACCACCTTTTAATGTTTGTTTCCTACTACGCCTTCTTTGGTAACAAGATGCTGTAAGACAACACAGAATCTGCACGTGCAAATACCAGACAGCTTCTCTAGTTTTGTTGTAGCACACAAGCATCTGTTTCCATAACACATTTCATCCATGTTTCCAGCAAACAAGGATACAGTCCAGCTTTCCCATTCTGTGTAACTGTAACACTTATCTTACTGCCCACCTTCAAATACTGAGCATTTACTGTGGCCCACTATTTATCTTAATGCTTATCTTACACTTTTCTAGCGGTTTTAGAGCACTATGACTCTGCTGTGTGCTAAAATAGTATTTCAAGGGACACACCTTCAGTTTCTAAATGACCAATCATGTTATGTTTTCACCTAAACTGTTCGTTCAGCTGTGCCCCTGCTTGAATTGCCCTCAGGAAAAAGCACTTGATGGCACAGAAAACAGAAACTGCTCTCACAGTGCCTAACTAAATTTGGTGATTTGCATGTTCTTTCTTGCAGTCAAACCTACTTACAAGTGTGAATTTGATGCACCTTCACCAATTCAAACTTTGCAGCTTACGGATATCAGAAGCTCAAGTTGCGTTTAAAAATGAGCGTGCTTCTATCTCTAAAAGTGGTAAGGGGATGCTCTATATCTCAAATATCCTGCAGAGAGGATGCTTGGACCAAAAGGAAAAAAAGAAAAAGAGGTAATATAGAGGTATGTTAAACTAAGGCCAACTGTCGATTCGTGTTTATGTGATGGAAAAAAAACATCTATTATGAGAAAGTCCAGGAAGTGATCCAACTAACAAGGCCCGCTTCAGGAAAAACATGGGACAACAGGCTTTGCTCCCTTCCTCTCTCTCTCTACCACAAACTAGGTTTGAGAAAGTTAGGGGTTTCCCCAGATCATGAGGCACATCTGCATGGGATTCTGCTGTAACCAGGAAGCAGACTGCAACACTTGGAGGTTTATCCCTGTGCCTGGAATTCACTACACCTGCCTGCTCCTCACCAAGGTCACTACATAACGCCCACAGGAGCACAGCCCATAGCAGCTCCCGGCTGGCCTTGCTGCAAGTAATAACTGAAATTAGAGAAACATCAGTAAATATAACAACAGGGAACACAATACTTCTGCTTAAAAACACAGCTGAGAGTCAGGAAAGATGTCAGAGATAAGGCCCTGTGTACACACAGCCGTTCTAAGCTCCAAACCCCTCATAGCAACTGGGTCGCAAGACCAGAAGTCTTCTAGGCTCATTCGCAATCTTTCAGGGGAAACCGAAACACTTGTATATTAACTGAGAAACAGCTTAAAAGTTTAGTCACACCCATGTCATACTGCTGAGTGCGGGCACACTCACAACACACAGACGTTTGAGTGAAACTATTTCTCCTAACTGCCTAAAAGTTGATCAAAGAAACCTAAGGCAGTAAAGATGAAAGACAGCTGCACAGGAAACTAGAAGCAACACCCTAAGGAGGGGAAAACTAGCACTGATATGGGAAAAGCACAATTATAGAGGGTGAAGGGGGCAGATACAAGTGAAAAACTGTTCCCTGCTGCACTCTCCTACGGAGTGACAGCTCCTGCAGGAAACACGGTCACTTACCTCCAGAAAATGGGGATTATAATTGCCATAAGTTGAAGAACTGTTGAAAATAGTTGTACTCTACATAACTACTACTTTAAATTAGCTTCTCTTAGCACCGCGAGACAAAGAAGATACCAGCAACGACGCTTTTCTCTTGGAGAAGCTTCTCCCAGCCTTTTTTGCTGTCTCCCTCTCCAAACAACGCAGACACTGACAGAAGCTGAGCTAGCAGTTCTCACACCGCCCTCCCCAACAGCCCACACAAAGGAAGCAGCAGAGCTGCTCAGCACTCCCCCGCCCCGGCTGAAGCGCCCCACGGAAAGACGCGCCGACCCCGCGACCCCCACACACCCCGTGCTCGCTCCGCTACCTGTCTAGCAGCGGCCCCTGCAGGCACTTGAGGGCCACCGGGACCCTCCAGTCGGCGTGGCGGGCGGCGGACACAGTGCCGTAGGCGCCGCGGCTGAGGAAGCGCAGGTCCGGCAGCTTGCTGGAGGGGATGGCGGGCAGCGCGCTGCTGATGGCGCCCGCCAGCTCGCCTCCAGCCCCGCCGCTCATCCTCGCACTGCGCCGCAGGGAGGGACTGTGGCTGGAGCCCGCTCCGCGCTGCCCCGCTCTCCCGTGGACCGCCGCCCCGCGTCTGTGCCGGGCGCGGCGGACTCGGAGCGCGCAAACCCGACCGCCCCCACCGCGCTTCCCCCGCCTCTCCCCCGCTTCGGCCCGCCTCCTCCAGCCGTCGGCTGCAGGGAGAGGAGCGGCTTCCCGTCACCGAGAACGGTGGAGCTTCCCGGGCAGGGCGAGGCGGAGCCGCCGCGGTCAGTGGGGAGGAGGTGCAGGGAGCACGGTGCAGTGTATGGAGCAGTGCCCCAAAGGCGACTTGAGCTCAGCTGCGTTTGCTCATTTCAGGAGCCCGTCCATTTTCGGGTACAATGAGAGAGTGTCAGCTCTTCTTTTGAGGACAGGTGGTCCGTGGCCCCTCCGTGACAGTCCCGTGAAGATTTTTCGCAGCAGTTTGGGAATTTCCAGAAAGTGATCGTCAGGCTCGCTCATGGATGGAGCTGTTTTGCAAGGCCTGTTGGCCCCACAAACATCCCTCATTAAAAGCGATTTAATTTCAAGTTAGAAGCTCCCAGCTTTCCACAAGGGAGGGGCAGCTTCACAGCCATCCCACCAAACAGGACACACCTTACCTTCTCTTATGCGTGGATTATGCTGAGCCTGTGACTTTCATCTGCCCCCTTTCCTCCCAGTAGAGGACAGGGATCAGATAACAAGAGAAAGAAACCAGGTGTTGAAACCGTGGTCGTGTGTTGATGTATTGTGGCATGTGACTGAAGACACAACAGTTGTTTCTTACTGCTGTGTCTAGGTCTGGAGCATTTACTTAAGAAAGCTTTGCTACGTTTTCTTTCTGTTGGAGAGGGTCCAGAGAAGGGCCACAAAGATGATCAGGGGACTGGAGCACCTCCCCTATGAAGACAGGCTGAGGGAGCTGGGCTGGTTCAGCCTGGAGAAAAGAAGGCTGCAGGGACCTCATTGCAGCCTTTCAGTACCTAACGGGAACCTACAAACAGGAGGGGGATCAACTCTTAAGGGTAGATAACAGCAGGACAATGGGAAATGGTTTTAAGTTGAGGGAGGGGAGGTTTAGGTTGGATGTCAGGGGGAAATTCCTTCCAGAAAGAGTGGTGAGGTGCTGGAACGGGCTGCCCAGAGAGGCTGTGGATGCCCCATCCCTGGAAGTGTTTAAGGCCAGATTGGATGGGGCCCTGGGCGGTCTGGCCTAGCATTAAATGAGGAGGTTTGTGGCCCTGCGTGTAGCAGGGTTTGGAGATTCATGATCCTTGAGGTCCCTTCCAACCCTGGCCATTCTGTGATTCTGTGTGGAGGATTTATACACTCTAAATGCTGCAGCGTTACTGACATACTGATAGAAAGCCTGACATACTCTGTCTTCAGCTTTCACTTGGTCCTTGTTCTTCAGACACACCAGATGGCTTCCTAGAAATATAATTTCATGGCAGTCTTTGCAATATTCAGGTTTTAAGCATTGATTTATTTATACACCTCTCTGTTTTTACCACGTCAGTAGCACAATTTCACAGAATCAAAGAATGCCTTGAGTTAGAAGGGACCTTAAAGGCTATATAGTTCCAACCTCCTGGTTGTCACCCACCAAATCAGGCTGCCCAGGGCCCCATTTAGCCTTGCCTTGCATGCCTTCAGGAATGGGGCATCCACAGCTTCTCTGGGCAGCCTATCCTGGGTGCTCACCACCCTCTTGGTGAAAAATTTCATCCTAACATCTAACCTAAATTTCCCCTCTTTTAGTTTAAAGCCATTTCCACTTGTTCTGTCACTATCAGATAGTGTAAAAAGTTGGTCCCCTCCTGTTTATAAGCACCCCTCCTTTGTCATGCTATTGGAATTTTGATGTATAAGTTTTTGTTGGCCAAAGAAAATGATACACAGTGAGCATATGCTGTGGACAGGTGCTATAAAAGCACTTTGTAATTACATACTTCAGGTGTTTTCCATTAAGAGGTTATGAATACTACTGTACTAAAAGTTTTAAGATATTTTATAAAAACAGGATGAATAGAGGCAGTTACTGCTTTCTACAGATCTTCAGGAATTTTGCCAGAGTTCAGATGAACTTGCCTATAAGGGTGGAGTGGGAAGAGGAGTGCTCCATTTGACTCCTCACTGTGGTGAGCTGTTTATGTTTTGTTGGCACACCAAAGCAGAAGTTCCAAAAAGATAAACTGGGGGCTTGAAGTTCCCAATGGGAGGGGCTACTGAGGGAAAAATCAGGGTAAAATATTGTTGCTCTGGGAAACCCCCTTTTTGCCTTTAGTACATGGAAAGGCATTATGTCAGATAATATCAGATAACTGACTTAAGATTTCATTGTTGAAGTGATGTGGCATAAATTGCAGCTAGAATACAACATAATTCCAGTATAAATAAAGTTGTTGTGTGTGTGGTGTTTGGATTTTTAGGTTAATTGCATAATTGTCTTTCAATCAGTGTTGCAGCAGCATACAGGAAAACCATGTAACAATACCTGCAGTTCTTTTGTATCTGTAGATTGGTTCACAACCTCATCACAGAATCACAGAATGGCCAGGGTTGGGAGGGACCTCAAGGATCATGAATCTCCAACCCGTTCCCCCCACCTCCCCCCCCTTCCTCCACCACAGGCAGGGCCACCAACTTCCACATTTAATACTAGACCAGGCTGCCCAGGGTCCCATCCAATCTGGCCTTGAACACCTCCAGGGACGGGACATCCACAGCCTTTCTGGGCAGCCTGTTCCAGTACCTCACCACTCTTTCTGTAAAGAATTTCCCCCTGACATCCAACCTAAATCTTCCCTCCCTCCTAAAACCATTTCCCCTCGTCCTGCAGTTATCTACCCTTTCAAAGAGTTGATTCCCCTCCTGTTTGTAGGCTCCCTTTAGGTACTGAAAGGCTGCAATTAGGTCCCTGCAGCCTTCTTTTCTCCAGGCTGAACAAGCCCAGCTCCCTCAGCCTGTCTTCATAGGGGAGGTGCTCCAGTCCCCTGATCATCTTTGTGGCCCTCCTCTGGGCCCTCTCCAACAGCTCCCTGTCTTTTTTTGTGCTGGGGGCTCCACACTTGGACACAGTACTCCAGATGGGGCCTCACAAGAGCAGAGTAGAGGGGAACAATCACCTCCCTGTCCCTGCTGGCCACCCCTCTTCTGATGGAGCCCAGGATACCATTTGCCTTCCGAGCCGCAAGAGCACACTGCTGGCTCATGTTAAGCTTTTCATCCATCAAGACCCCCAAGTCCTCCTCTGCAGGGCTGCTCTCAAGGACCGCTCCTTCCAGTCTGTAGGGATGCCTGGGATTTCTCTGGCCCAAGTACAAAACCTTGCACTTTGCTGTGTTGAACCTCATTAGATTCATCTGGGCTCACCTTTCAAGTCTGTTGAGGTTCCTAATGTCTAAAAGATGTGCGGTTACTATTCTTTTTTATCACTCAGTTTTAACCATTGTTGAAAAATACTTTCATAACTGTTTGTCTTGATCAGTACAAGACCTAATTAGTTTCGGTGGTTTATCACTTCTAAGCTTTATTTTTCTCAATATTACTCAGTGCAAAAGGGGCCCTTTTTTGCAATCGATGCCAAGTGATCTGCAGGAAAAATCAATAGCAGATGTAAGGACTGTCAGTAACTAAATGGTGGACTCCAATTAGTGTCTACCTCGAGAAAACAGTCATTTTATTGTAAGCTCTACATGATTGTTTATTCAACCATGTATCTCACACCTCACTCATTGAAGGATGTATAATTCCTATGTATGTGCAGTGGACTTCTCTGATACATGGTCTTACAAGAAGAGCAGGGTGGTGGGACTGGATTTCTGAAGGCAGTGTGCCAGGAAGCTGGTTGTGCCAGCCTGATCTGTGCATTCCTATCTGAGATCAGTGGGATGTGGTGCACATCTAGAAGAAGTTTGAGTGCATCTCTGTCTCAAAGCAGTGGTATTTCCCATTGGTATTTCCTCTGCAATCTCTGAACCATAGAAAGTAGCTAAATCTATAGGAAGTTCTAAAGCAGCAGCAAGTAGACTTTTTGGATAAAATTAAACGATGTTTTCATCATAGAATCATAGAATGTCTTGAGTTGGAAGGGATGTCAAAGATAATTAAGTTCCAGTCCCCTTGCCAGAGGCAGGGTTGCCAGCTGCTAGATCAAGTAGTAGATAAGATTGCCTAGAGCCCCATCTAACCTGGCCTTAAAACACTTCCAGAAACAGGACATCCATAACCTCTCAGGGTAATCTATTCCAGCACCTCACCACTGTCTCAGTAAAAAATTTCCCCCTGACATCTGATCTAAATCTCCCCTCCCCCAGTGTCCTATCACTGTCTACCCATGTAAAAAGTTGATTTCCCTCATGTTTATAAACTCCCTTTAAATATTGGAAGACTGCAGTGATGTCTCCCTGCAACCTTCTATTTTCCAGGCTGAACAAGCCCTGTTCTGTTAGCCTGTCTTCATAGGAGAGGTGCACCAGCCCTAGGATCATCTTCATTGTCCTAGTCTGGGCCCTCTCCAAAAGCTCCACATCTTTCCTGTGTTAAGGGCCCCAGATGTGGATGCAGTACTCTGTCTCGGGCCTCACATAGGCAGAGTAGAGATGGGACGATCACCTCCCATGCTCTGCTGGCTACCCCTCTTCTAATGGGACCCAAGATACTATTGACCTTTCGGGCTGCAAGCGCACATTCCTTGCTCAAGTTAAGCTTTTCATCAACCAGGACTCCTAAGTCCTTCTGAAAGAGTTTTTCTCCCAGTTTGTATACATATCTGATATTCCCATGACCCAAGTGCAAAACTTTGCACTTTGCTTTTTTGAACCTCAGGTTCATAAGGGCCCACCTTTCAGATTTATCAAGGTCCGTCTGGATGTCATCCCTTTCTTCTGCTATATCAATCACACTGCTCAGCTTGGTGTCAGCAGCAAACTTGCTGAGGGTGCACTTAATCCCATTATTTATGTCACTGTTAAGGATTTTAAAGAGTACTGGTCCCAAGACAGACAGACCCCTGTGGGACATAACTCCTTACCAGGAGTCATTGACCACAGATAGAGCCATTGACCACAACCCCCTGGCTGTGA